CTTTCGCATGCTTAATTAATGCCTTTACCTAATTTGCATATTGCTGACATATGCAAATTAGGCAAATGCATTAATTAAGCATGCAAATAGCTGATTTTTCGGGAAAATTGTAACTTTGCGTGAATATTTAAGGGGCTTAAACTAAACCAAATTGTCTGAAATTTTGTACAGTAATTAAAATCCCGACAAATTTTCCATCTGATAACTCAAAATATGATTGCAGCTTTTAAATTTTGTGCGCGAGCCAGTTTTAGTTTGTTGGAAAAGACACCCCCCCCTGGTTCACAAAATTTGAGTTCGAGAAATATTTTTCATTATTTTACATTATAAGTACCCAAAGAAGCTATATATATAAAAACCAGATACAAATAGCTGTTTTGCGAAATTGAGAGCAATTTTAAATCTGTTCAGTTTTTTTTGATACACCCTGTATATTATATATGATATAATTACTATATATGATAAGGTTTATTAGTACTGTACATTACAGTAATGTACTTTACATTTACATATAGTATTATATTCACTAAGAAATATATGCTCTTGTATTTTGACCCTTTCTGAGTGCTGAAAAAGTTGTGTAAATATATAAAATTTCACTGCCAGGTATCTTTCATATATATATAAAAGATACCTGCATGGCAGTGAACCTATATTTACACAACTTTTTCAGCACTCAGAAAGGGTCAAAATACAAGAGTATATATATTTCGTCGTTAATATAATAGTTATACTATACATGTAAATGTAAAGTATATTACTGTAAGGCAGCGTTTACACTGTACCGTTTTCGTAGCGTTCTCGTATTGTTCTTAATCCTCAAGGGAACGCAAGACAATAGTCTAGTTCTCTCGAACAATACGAGAACGCTACGAAAACGGTACAGTGTAAACGCTACCTAAATGTACAGTACTAATAAACCTCATCAAAATATCTAGTTATTATGTAGCTATTATGGATCTATATTTTAAAATTAAAAAGAATACATTACATCAGCAGGCATTAAAATAGCGTGTTTTTTGACACACTTTGTGTCCTTGTAAAAGGACAATGCGTCCTTGTAAATTGAAAAGTGTGTACTTGGTCTTGGGAATAAAGCCCAGAATAAATATTGTTCAAAGTAATCATGTGGTTATTGCCTGATGATAGCCAGATATATATTGCTGGTTTATATATTTCTTTTATATACAAGAAACGCATGTAAAATTAACGGCTTCATTTATTTTCCTCTATGTTTCATGCTAATGGCAATATCCGCAGAAATCATGCTATACAGAAATCAGGACCCGCGCTATAGCCTATAAGGATTTTCATTAGACAATTGAAAATTTAGTTATGAAAAATTTAGACTGCATGCTTTATGTACTTGTTAGACAGCCTCAACAATTGGCCTAAACGGCCCAAAAGTGCCAAAACTGTGCTTCTGTGATCCCCAGATTTTAAAATATTTACTGATACCACACTGAAATATATAAGCATTAGTCACATTTGAATGACCAGTCTGATTTCGTAGCTAAAGATATAAAGTTATAATACGGCCCTGCATTTTACCTATTTGGAACGAATTTTTGCCTTAAAAAGGGACTGAACTTTAACAAATATTCAAAAAGCCTTTTCTTAGTTGATGAGTGTTTGTGCTCAAGCCAGTCGGCCACCAACCTCGTAAGGTAAAGTGTGTCCTTGTAAAAAATGCTTATTTTAATGCCTGTGCATCAGTGACTGTTTATTAACATAATTGTAGACAGCGATCTTCTGTTTGTTTGTTTGTTTGTTTGTTTGTTTGTTTGTTTGTTTGTTTGTTTGTTTGTTTGTTTGTTTGTTTGTTTGTTTGTTTGTTTGTTTGTTTGTTTGTTTGTTTGTTTGTTTGTTTGTTTGTTTGTTTGTTTGTTTGTTTGTT